ATTCACCGATTGAACATGTGCTCCCTGCTGCTGCTGCTGCTGCTGCTGCTGCTGCTGCTGCTGCTGAGGCTGCTGCTGCTGCTGCTGAGGCTGCTGCTGCTGCTGCTGCTGAGGCTGCTGCTGCTGCTGAGGCTGCTGCTGCTGCTGCTGAGGCTGCTGCTGCTGCTGCTGAGGCTGCTGCTGCTGCTGCTGCTGAGGCTGCTGCTGCTGCTGAGGCTGCTGCTGCTGCTGAGGCTGCTGCTGCTGAGGCTGCTGCTGTTTCGCTTCCTGATTGTCTTCAGCCAAGTTGATCAAATCGCCACCTCCTCCCGCCTTCTCCTGCCCAGGACTCTCCCGCACCTCCTTGTCTCCTCCCCCAGCTCCCTGCGTCTTCTCCTCGCCCCCTGCCGCTTCTGCAGAAGACAACCTCCGGCTCTGCCTCTGCTGACTTCTCAGCTTGTTCTTGTTCTCCTCGATCGCCTGCACAAGTTCAACATGATCGCAAGGACGACGCTTCCTTCACCTCGACGCATTCATCTCTCCTCTCTCTCTCCATGGAGTAGATATATCCTCTCGGTTTGTCCGCGTTCCTCGTCCGGAATATCAACGTGAGCAGCTCAGGATCCTCTTCGCTCATCGTCATCCTCTCAAGGTCAATGAGGGAATGCCAGGCCTGCAATGAGGTTGAGAAAGTAACGAGACGATGATGTTGAGGTGAGAAGAAGAAAACCTTGACAATTACATCATCTTATCAAAAACAAAGTCATCATCATCATCTCCATCATGATCATCATCATTGTCATTGTCATACTTTACGACCTTAAGTCTGCCCACATTCACTTTCGTCTCGTGAGCTTCGAGATCCATTACATGTTTCTCTGTGACGATCAGATACCTGCATCTTCGTCATCCCCAAAAATTGAGAGGGGAGGGGGGCAGAGGAGGAGAGAGGAGAGGGGAGGGGAGGAGAGGGGAGGGGAGGGGAGGGGAGGGGAGGGGAGGGGAGGGGAGGGGAGGAGCGGAGAGGGGAGAGGAGAGGGGAGGGGAGGAGAGGAGAGGAGAGGGAGAGCAGGAGCGAGGAGGAGCGAGGAGGAGTATTCCCTCTACCTAGGGAAGACTTGTCCTTTCGGTCCAAGTCTCTTGCAGCCGATGACGTGGGTAAACCGTTTCTCCTTCCAGTGCGCCAGGTTGATGAGCGAGTCGATCTGAATGTCTAGCTTGTCCTCTTCTCCTCCTCCTCCCCCTCCGTCTCTCCCCGCCCTGCCGTCACCTGCCCCGCAGCCCTCAGTCTCCTCCCCTCCTCCTCCTTCTTACGTGCTCACCCATGTCCTCTTCCTCGTCTTCGATCGCAAAGCGGGGTTCCTGCATCGTGTCTGCACGAGTCGTTGAGAAACCGAAGGATGCTCGTGAAGGCAGGGGAAGGAGAAGATGGGTTGAGAGATGGGGAAGGAGAAGATGGGTTGAGGTAAAGGACGCGGAGGAGGAGGAGGAAGAGACAGGAGAGGGGAGGAGGAAGAGGAGGAGGAGGAAGATGAGGAGGAGGAAGAGGAGGAGGAGGACAGGAGAGGGGAGGAGGAAGAGGAGGAGGAGGAAGAGGAGGAGGAGGAAGAGGAGGAGGAGGACTTGAGGAGGAAGAGAAGGAGGAAGAGGAGGAGGGAGGAGAGGGAGAGACTATATGACGGGAGAGGGTGAGAGGTGAGATGAAGGAGCGGGGAGAGGACGACAGACGACAAGGATTCTATCACCTTTTCCTTCCAGATGTTACTTTCGTGCTTCAACATCGTCTCTGATTGCTACGTAATGAT